CGCTATTCATTTGTTTGTGTCGACACTTATTCATTTCCATTATTCCCCGTAGTATATTGAGATATCTCATTATCAATTGATTTCAACAATAGTAAATATACCCTCTTTCATCACTTATTCGGGGAATTTCAATTTGCACAATACCAATGCTTCCAGCGTATTATTCCACTATCATATCATTTCATATAATTCATCATCATCAGTATCATATAGTTTATGATTTGCACACTTTCACTGTGATGCATATATCATTTCCAAATTTCAATCATTGATTCTCTCCCTCATCTTAACAGATTCCTGATCTGTATTTTTAGTATTGAATTTCTTGAGGGGAGTTCATATAGTCTCTATTTTGTTCTTGATTTCAACATATATTTGGAGGACTTTGAACTCATATCATTTGTAGTGTGCACATTTTTCTTTCAAGAATTCATCATATCAGGTGAGTATATTACTAGCTTCATCACTTTCATATGACACTTATTTTTATTCTTTCATAATCATCTTGTGTCATCCTTAGATCAAACCATCTCGTAAATTCAGGTTACATGCCATATACACATTCTTTGATCAAATCATCTCGTAACTTCAGGTTACGAATCACACACATGATAATATCTAGTAGCACACATGGAGGGGTAGTGGGCCCATATATATCGTACCCCTTTCATACTCAGATTGATCATATATCGATTCACAAATATTTAGCTAATAATATTTTTCACCAATCGGGAAAAAGCATCTCATATCACAAAGAATAAGTTCATCATGCAAACCATCATCAATAATATCGGTAAACATTTTTAAAATGATCACAATAATTCGTTGTGACATGTTTATCACAAACATTTCACATCATCTTTCGGCGGCAATAAATGCACTTTAAGTGTAGGATCTGGTATAATATCTTTTAACCACTGTTTAAATCCAGAATTGTATCATGCTGTCTGACACACATACTTTTGAACACTGTTTAAGTCCAGAGTCGTATCTCATACGCATCATATTTTTCTATAAATTATCAGGTAATTCATTCAATTTTCTTTAACAAAGGTCCGAATTTACAAATGGATTTAGCACTCTCAAATATCCGTAAATATTATTCTTTTCTTCCGAAAAATATCATAAAAAGGATTTATCGATCTCGATTAGAAAGATTGAGGATACTAATGAATAATGGTATTCCAAATGATGTTAGATGGTTGATCGAAGCACAAGTTCGATTGTCTGGAGAGTTTTCAAATTCATATAAATATATGCCAGGTATGGGTAAAAGTACTTATGCAAAGAAACGAAGAGCAAAAAGGTTAGGTGGATGCTTCAAATGCGCTCGATGGACTTGTGACACACGATGTATATCTGTGGGGTACGTGTCCAAAAATCGAGAAGATAAAATAACGTTTATAAAGGATGGATTGAGTAAGGAGTCTTTGGATCAAACGATTCAACAGATTCTTGAGACACATCCTAGTGGATACGTGCATCGTGAGCTTATGTCTTTATGGATTCAGTTCAAAAATGAAGAAGAACGTTATAGTCTCGAAAATATTATTTCAAAAGATCAAGTTTGTAAAACTGGTCTTGTTAGTACGAAAAATCATACTAATACAGTTTAGTTTAGTATGTTGTACTGTAATTTTCTAGAAAAACTTATAGTTGCCGACAGATAAGATTTATTTAAAACCCAACACCTTATCTGTCAGTTGCAATTGTCAGAAGAAAACAGTAAAATTATTTATTGCTTTGTAAAACTTTCTATTTAAATAGCGAGTCGTTCATCATAATCATATGCCTCACAAAGTTTTGAAAAATTCAGTTTATCAATAAATAGATGGATGTTTTAGAGTCTTCGCAAGGTAATAATTTTCTTCAACCGATCAAAACCATATGTGTTCTTGGTGGTTCTAACTGGTAAGTTTTTCTCAAACTATTGATATTGTAAGTCAGTTAGTCAAAGAGATGGGGAATCAAAAAATCAATTTGCTGTATGGAGGGACTAGCAATACTTTCTATGATAGTCTCTTAATGGCTGGACAATGTTTTGAGATAGAAGTGAAAAGTATCATACCTTTTCGTAGAGCTTCAACAAAGGTCGTCAAGGATTCCACAAGCATGATGTTAACTCATTCCATTTATGATTGTATGATGGATATGGTGAACAATAGCGATGCTTTTATCATTCTTCCAGGCGGGTATGGAACGCTAATGACAATGTTCACCATTGCTTTATGGGCAGAATTGAAACTTCATAACAAGCCCAAGGTCTATTGAACTTTAATAACTTCTTTCATGGTTTGCTTGGATTTTTAGACATAGGAGTATATCAAACCTTTATATCTCCTTCAATGAGAGAAGTATTCAAATCTGCTGACACGTCTGCTGAACTTATCAAAAAGCTTCAAGAATGCATCACATTTCAAGATTCTGTGGAAACACAAGGGGTCAAGCGAAAAAGAGCTTTTGATCCTTTAGATCTCTCATTATGAACCCAGATATTATTCAAATATGAACCCAGATATCATTCATGGGTGGCAGAGTTACGGAGTTTTACACTCTCGAGACGCACCCTTCTTTTATGGGTTCTATTATGTAATCTTTGCGTATTTTGTCTTCATCGAGTATTTACTGCCTCTTTTCCATATTTCCACCATATGAATATTTTGTACTTGTTTTTCAGTAATAATAATATCAATTTCGATTTTTCTCAGTGTATAGTAGTTCATGACTACAATCATTATCATTTGTGCTTCTTCTGGAGCACTTTATTGTAATATCTGTATGATCTCGTATCCCAATGTGATCTCGTCATCTGATATAGCCCCTTAGACTTATATAATATATTGAGAATTCATTTTTGTGTGATCACCCATAGCTGGTAGCTTTTGATACCACTTTCTCATTTTGTTCAATCATCCAATGGTAGCTTCTAGTACCATTTCATCACTTTGTTTAATCATAAAGTGGTAGCATCCAGTACTACTATACCATGATATCATCTAATCATTATGCCATAACTTCCGACATCACATTAATCATGTGGTAACTTATAGTACCATCTCATCAATATTCATATCTCCATAAATTTGGAGAATTTATCAACTGATACTTCAGGACCAGGTTAGTCCATATAATGTCTGTTCATGACAAGGACTTTAATTAACTTTCACATGGTCAGATACAAAGTATCATTAATTTCACTCATTGGCTATCACTTAATTTGTACTGCCCATCGCCGGCGGCAGTGCCGCACTGGCCGACCCATGTATATGTATAGCCATTCATTTGTTGCACGTGGCGTTGCCACCTGGCCATTCTATATCACCGGTTATCATTAATATACTGACTGATCCATTTAGCCGTTCAATATTATCTGTTGCTGGTGGCTGCAACACTTGGCCATTTCATATGATCGGTCATATTTCTTTATAATATTTTTTTATCAATAATTGACCCGTTGGTTACCATTAAATATTACTTGCCGGCGGCAGAGCCGCACTGGCTGATCCATATAGCCACACATATTTCTTTTCATATCACAAGGGTCAATCCATAAATATTCGCACGTTCATGTACCAAATAATTTTCTCAATAGAAGAAAATCAACAGTTCATAATGACAATATATATTAATATAATTCAATAAATCATATCAATATTGGTCTTAAATCGAAACTCTATTTAAATGAAATATTATGAAATTGTAAAATGCTAATTTTGATACTGTATGCCTTTTGAAATCTATCTGAAACTTGATGAATATTTGAAATTTTATGTTCATGTTTCATTATAATGTCTTACGGACACAACACGTCATTTGTTGTATGACTTTTCATTTGATATCTCTTTCAAGACTTATGTATATTAACTAATAAAATATCAATAGACTTGAATTAATGGGACAAGGGTCCCACGAAGTCAAATGTAATGTTCGGTGTGACAAATGCATAAGAGATATTACTTTTTTTTTTCATCAAGTGGGNAAAAAAATGAAGTGGACAAAAAAGAAAGAAAAAAAAATCAAGTCGACCAAAATAGAAAGCCCGTATTTACTAAATACGTTTTCCATTGTAAAC